ATAACTCAGCAGTGCCACCTTGCTTGTGGATCCAATGGAATGGATGATTGTCACAAACGGTGGAAGAGGACGTGATAAACTCCATAAAATCCTTCCTGCTGATATCCCCATTCCGGTGCTCTCTGATCAACCACTCCGACTTCCAGGAGTGAAGGACTGCTATTTGCATACACTCATGTAACCGAAATACAATTCGATAGCCCTGCTCATGATCTATTAGAGTTGCAATCTCAAAATCATCTGAAAATGGCAGTAATCTGTGCCCTTTCCACTTATTGAAGAATGGGTTCCCCACCCAAAAGTCTCTACCTTCCCGGACCAGCACCAGCCCGGACTGAGAGACCGACTGGATATAGGTAGATGGAAATTCTAACTCGAACCACTGACCCAGACCCAAGTGGCAAATGTTACACAACAAAGACTCACCCTCTTCTTTTGAAATATGATGCAGGGCGACGGATCCTCGTAGCGCCTTAAAAACCATGGAGAATCAATTATTTGTTTCCAAGCCTTGCAAACAGCTCTCGCTCTCAATAGACTCGGCCCAGGAAGCCTCAAAAGGATATCTACATGCTCCATCACCAACCCTAACCTAAGAAAATGTAATTTGTGACTTTTATTTTTGTTACATGAAATTCATTTTACCTTTAAAGTGTTTAAATTGTTTAATATTTTTTCCACTTTCCAATCCACATCTCAGATGTAATGGGGCCTGGGTAAGGAGGGTGCAAAGTTTGCTCACCTGCGCTTTGAGCGCAAGAGACCAGCAAAAGATCCCGCAAAGGAAATCGTCAACTAGATGGAGTGAACATCCTGAAAGGATTATAAAATGAAAATATCAAACAAAAATTCTTATTGAGCACCAGAACAGCATATAGATAGAACTGATATAACATTTGCTATTATCACTTTCAAAATACAGTTTACTAGAATTCTACTACCCAAAGATAAAAATGATATGAAATGATCATACTTGCTATGCAAACACCGGTGAAGAATAATTTAGAAGCAGAGCACATTACAAATCTAGAACCCCAATTCCTGATGAAAACTTAGCGCTAGATGTCATGTTCTTTCACAGCTAAGGGGCTTGAAGCGCTTGAGAACCACAGGTGTTGTCAACCTCCAAGCTCATTTGCATCCTGTCGCAAGAAAAGCCGAGCTCCATGCCCCCGGTAAGCTGTGCCTCTCCCACTACTCAGGTCCTCGAGCAGCCAGTCATGCACGCTGGGAATTATGCTCTCCCGACGCTAGCACCAGAAACTCGCATCCACCATCGCGAAGATCAATCTAGATCTCCACAACCTCGGGAACAGCCACCACGGCCTGCTCCGCGGGCCCCAGACCGGCATTGCTCTTCGGACTTCCACATGACATCGCCCAAGGCCACCTCACTTGCAGCCCAAACTGGCTCTTCTCGCCCCGAACGCTCGCGCTGGCAATCTCGAGCCCCTAGTTCCTCACCGCCGTCGCCCCGGCCCTGACCGCCCTCTCGCAGTCCCCGGGCATCGTCTCGGGCTTGTGCGCCCCCTCGCAGTCCCCGGGCATGTGATCTCTCTCGTGGCCCCGAGACATGCATGACCTCCCGGAGGGCGATCCGCAGATGAGCGTCCTCCGTTTTGGGCCTGGCTCCCACCGTGATCCAGAGTTCTTCATGACTACGGGATCGCTCTTCCAGTCCTTCTGTGCCTTGAGTTTAAAAGGCAAACAAACAAAAGGTTCCTCTTGATCGGTGATGGAGCATGTAGATATCCTTTTGAGGCTTCCTGGGCCGAGTCTGTTGAGAGCGTGTTTGCAAGGCTTGGAAACAAATAATTGACTCTCCATGGTTTTCAGTCCGCTACAGGGATCCATCGCCTTACATCTTATTGCCATCATCAAAAGAAGAGGGCTGGCCTTTCTGTAACATATGCCACTTGGGTCTGGGTAAGTGAATTTCCATCCAAATTTATCCAGGCGGTCTCCCAGTCTGGGCTGGTGCTGGTCCGGGAAGGCAGAGGCTTTTGGGTGGGGAACCCATTCTTCAATAAGTGGAAAGCACATGGATTAGAACTGCCATATGCAAAGTTTGATCCAGAGATTGCAACTCTAGTGGATCATGAACAGGGCTATCGAGTAGTATTTCGGGTGCGGAGATTCGTTCAAACGGCAGTCCTCTGCTCCTGGAAGTCAGAATGGCTGCTCTGTAACCACCTTGAGGAGGATCTCAAGAAGGATTTTGCGGAGTTTGTCACATCCTCCTCCACTGTTTGTGACAACATCATCCATTCCATTGGATCCAAAAGCAAGGTGGCGCTACTGAGTTATTGTGCAGACAATGGTGAGGTTCTTTCACTCCGTTACTTGAAGCTGGGGTCTGAAGTACTTGAAGGGTGTTTTAGGCTCTTTGGTTGGGATGGCAAGCTCTATTTGCTTGGAAAAAATGGCACTCACTTATTTGGACTCTTTGAAATAAGAGGTGAGAATGTAGTTCTGATTAGCTGGGCACCAGAAAGCATTTCTGCAAGATTCCCCTTCATAAAGTCTGCAAACATCGACAACAATATTATTTATTGCATTTCTCATGTTAAGCAAGCGATGCTAGTGACTTATAACCTCAGTCAACAGGGTTCATGGCAAATGGTACCACTTCCAGAACCATTGCCCTCATGCATTGGAATCTTAAATATTGTAAAGTTTAGTTTAGACTTACCATTTGGCTTAGACTTGTGTAGTGCCTTCTGATTTCAAACGTGGACAAAAGCAACTCACTTTCAAGCCAATAATTGATTCTGCACTTGTGTGTCCTTTATATTTACTTAAGGTGAAAGGTTGTTTGCAAGCGACTACATCAAAATGAGAGGAAGTGCTACTATGAGCAGACGTAATATCTCCGCAAGAAACAAAACTCGATTCCATGCTTTAGGAATGTTTTTGTGTAAATAAACCATAAACATTGCTAAGCAATTCTGATGTTACTTCCAGTAGAAAACTTGCTCTAGGACGAGCTCCCCGACCCTCCACCAAAGCGGAGATCCACCCAAGAGTAGCCAAGGAAGTACTTTACTGCCGCCAAAAGGTTCTTCAAAGCTGTGGTCGAAAGAAACAAAACGCTAAGAAAGCGCCACTCGAAGAACATGGAGCTCAGGAAGGACGTACAGAATAAAAACAGAAAAATGAAAGGACGCATACCGAGAAACCAAGAAGCTTGAGCCTAGCAGCTTTCTGGATTGAGAAATTTTCATTCCTGCTATAAATCTCATCCAAGATGCAGGACGAGCTGGAAACGAAGTGTTAAGAACAAACAGGACAAAGGAAAAGAATGAGAGCGATAGCCTGGATCATCCTGTGGTCAATCCTGGCTCCCTTGGGATGAGAGCGATGAATAGCAGCTGGAATTGTCTACGAAGACTACACTTGGAAGGTTACAATTGCCGATGACTTAACAGGAAAAGAGTGTGTAAGCACACTTCCGCTGAAAGGAAGCGGAAAGTGGTCGACTGCAGTTTGGTTGACAATTAAAGAGTTTCATATAAGCGTATACCAAAGGGCCGAAAGCTTCGAAGCTGTGGCCTGTTTATAAGAAACTAAACCAAAGGAGCAAACAGAGAACAAACCAGCTGTCCACAAAGACCAATCTTCTAGAGTATAGATCTCGCATTCGATCCTCTCTCTCTCTTCAAAGCACGCAGCATTCGGACGCGACAGCGGGGGAAGAAGGTTACAAATGGCGCCAAGAAAGAATGATACCTGAGCTCTCCGTAGCCCTTCCGCGACCTAGAAACTATCCAACAAAGCGGTACTCTTAAAGATGAAGCGCCCGCGTCCTTGTCGTAGCGTCCAGCCGCCTCCTTGACTGCTGTCTCAAACTCCCTCCATATTTCTCGCTCCTCTACACTCAAACGTTTTTTTAGCCATTCTTTTCCTAGAGATTCCTTACCTCGGTTTTGGAGATATTGGAGGTCCGCTGCTATCGCCTGGGCGGGCACAATCGCCTTGAACGCGCCAGCATCTCCAAGATCCATGTCCAAAGGAGAGCAGAGCCCGAAATCCAGGATCCATATGCTCCTCCCGGAGAGATGCAGCTGGACGTCGCGGAATCTCCAGCCCTCTCCAAACACGCCGCGAGCAAAGAGCTCCCCGACGCTCCGAGCGACGCTGCTGGCTTCCAGGTGAGGGAAAACCTCCTGCACATCACAAGCACACACAACCGGTTCGTTTATCACCTGGAGTTTGTCGCGCTCATGCTCCGTGAACGTGTAGAGCCAAGCCCGGTCTCCAAGATCGTCACTGTCCTGCTTTGCCTGCGAGAATGGGATCTTGTAGGTCCTCTGGAAGAGGGACTCCACAGCCTCCTCCTCGATGGGTGGCAACCTCTGCATGACAATGACGGGAGCGTTAATGCGCTTGAGATGCTTGAGCACGAGAGGCCTTATCTCTTCGTCCACGCGCTGGAGCAGTGCCTGTTTTGGGGCGAAGGCGATCACCTCCGGCGATGAACCGATCTCCTGGCAACAGCCCTCTGCGCCTCCACCTCCATCTTGATCGCGTCGTACGGGATGTCTTTCCGCTTGGCAACTTTGATGGCGATCTCTCCCTCGCATATCACCAGCCCCTGCAGTCCTCCATCCCAACTCGTTGCCAGTTCCTGCTTGGCCGCGCTCGTCCCCGCTCCGGCTTGCCGGCGTTCCACTAGGTTTCCTCCGCCGTGCTTGCCGCGATCCTTGCCGCCGCCAGTTGCCGCCGCTAGGATCGCGATCGGCCGCTCCACCTTGGCGTGCGGCTCTTGACCCCTGGATGGGAGCTTTATACGGGATCAACATCTCTGCCGTCGAAACGGACGGCTGCGATTACCTTGCATTATATTCTTTATTAGAAAATCTGTAGTTTTACCTTTACGCTACTTTATATTAATCATCATCTCTGCCGTCGAAACGGACGGCTGCGACCAATACATGTTAAGGTTATAAACGCACATGGCGCTCTTGCCTTTTAAAATTCAATCACAGTGAAACGTTTTAGGGTATCAAGTAGCGATGAAGAAGACGCAGAAGGGCAAGAAGGCACCGGCACCTTGTCCAGCAGCAGCGGCACCATCGCCCAGCCCGCTGGACATGTTCAAGGACTGGAAGAGCGATCGCGTCCACAAGGTAGTCATGGAGAACTCTAGGATCAGGGTGGGAGCAGTGGCGACTCAAGGTCCCAGGCCCAAAATGGAGGACGCCTACGCCTGCGTCCCCGACCTGGACGCCTCCTCCTCCTTCGTCGCCCTCTACGACGGCCACGGCGGCTGCGCGGCAGCGCGCTACTGCGCCGAGCACCTCCACCGGCGCCTCGTCTCCGACCCACACTACAAGAAGCGCGAGTTTGCCCGCGGCCTCCGGGAGGTGTTCGCGAAGATGGACAGGGCCATGCAGAGCCCGGCCGGCGCGGAGGAGCTCCGCAAGCTCGCGGAGGACAACAAGGAGGTGGCGGGCGCTGGCAATTGCGGCACTACCGCGGCTGCCGTTTTGATCCTGGACGACAGGCTCTTCGTGGCGCATGTCGGGGACAGCCACTGCACGCTGTGGCGGGGAAACGAGGCCGTGGCGGTGACGAGGGATCACAAGCCCGAGACGATGCCCGGGGACTGCGAGAGGGCGGTCAGGGCCGGGGCGACGGTGGTGAAGAACAAGTGGCTCGAGATTGGCAGCGTGAACTCTCGTGGCGAGAAGGGCCAGTTTGGGCTGCAGATGACGCGGGCCTTGGGTGATTTCATGTGGAAGAGCAACGCGGAGCTGGAGCCCGAGGAGCAGGCCGTGGTGGCTGTTCCCGAGGTTGTGGAGATTGATCTCCGCGATGGTGGATGCGAGTTCCTGGTGCTGGCGTCGGACGGGGTGCCGCGGGAGTGCGTGGAGAGCATCTGTCCCAGCGTGCATGACTGGCTGCTCGAGGAGGAGGAGCACCGGGAGAGGCATGGAGGTGGTGGAGCGTTCCAGTACCAGCAGGGGAGCATGGAGCTCGCCTTTTTTTGCGACAGGATGCAGAGCATGAGCTTGGAGGTTGACAACAAGACTGTGGTTCTCGTCCACCTCAAGCGCTTCAAGCCCCTGGCTTGAGAATTCTAGAGCTGTTATGAGCTGTTGCAATCTATAAGAAATTTTAACATATATCCTGGAATCTATGTTTGGTGAAACTTGAAAGTCTAGAACCTTAGACATCTAGACTTCCAGAATAGCAAGGTTCTAGATTTTCAACTTTCACTATGAGGCAATATATGTTTTAACTTGCATGGATCTTTAGCTGGTAAGAATCATGTTTTAGGATAGTCTAAAGCTTTTGGAGCTGAGGCCATGGCGGCGTGCATCCAAGCGTTGGCAATTAGAGCAACGCTTCCATCTGCGTTTCTGGGTACGTCGCAGGTGTCATGGAGGCGGCAACAGCGCCTGGTTCTCGCCAATCCATCCGGCTCCCGGGTCTCGGCGTGGTTTAAATTCGGGAACCGGGGATTGGATTCGCAAGGAGCTGGAATCTATGGCAGCCAGAAGAGGGACGATTTCAACAAGGACGACGTCGAACAGGTCAGAGATTTTCCTGGAATGTTTGTTCTCATGGTTCTTTCTCGTTTTTCTTTTGGTTTTGATCCACAGTACTTCAACTACATGGGAATGCTGGCGACCGAGGGATCCTACGATAAGATGGACGCGCTGCTCAACGAGGGTCTCCATCCGGTGGACATTCTTTTGCTCATGGCTTCTTCCGAGGGAGATAAGCCCAAAATCGAGGAGCTTCTTCGCGCTGGAGCTAGCTACACGGTGAAAGACGGCGAGGGAAGAACAGCATTGGACAGGGCTAAAGACGACGAGATCAGAGATCTCATCCAGAACTTCCAGACCGTCCCTTCCCCGTGAAAATCTGTCCATCGTATAGGATCAATCCAAGTTTCCCTCCAAGGTTTTGTTGGATGCGATGGGTCACACAATGGCGATCTTCTTCGTCCTCGAGTTATGGGCGGCGCTCGATCCATTCGTCCTCGCTGCTTGGTGGGCGGTTTTCTTTCCCTCTGGGCAGCGATCAGCAGCGCCTCCAGGCCCAATTCGCCTCACAGCTCCAGGCATGCCGAGATCTGGCCACCGCGCGGCGGCTCCACGCCCGGATCCTCGCTACCGCTCTTCGATCCGACACCTTCACCGCGAATCTCCTCGTCCAGCTGTACGGACGATGTGGCTGCCCGGAGATCGCACGCCAGACGTTCGATGGCATTCTTGCAAGGAACTCCTTCTCCTGGAACATAGTCATGGCGGCAAATGCCCAGAACAGGCATCTTGAGAACGCGAAGAGCGTCTTTGATAAGATGCCGGAGCGCGACGTTGTGACATGGACGGCTATGATGGCGTCATTTGCCGAGAGGGGAGATCTCTTTTGTCCAAAACAGTTGTTTGATTCCATGCCGGAAAGGAATGTAGTGTCCTGGAACGTCTTCGTTGGAGCATATGCGCAGCAAGAACAACTTGAGCCTAGCAAAGGAGCTTTCCTTCGAATGCCCTGCCACAGCATCGTTTCCTGGAACTCTATGCTTACAGCTTACGCGCAAGGGCAGCAAATCGATCGCGCAAGCGAGTTCTTTGAATCGATGCCACAGCGCGACGTGATTTCCTGGAACATCGCAATCTCAACACTTGCCCAAACAGGGGATTTGGTAAAAGCAAAGAAGCTGCTTGATCTGATGCCGGCGGTGGGGATCGTGTGCTGGACGGCAATGGTGGTGGCAAACGGGCAGCTCTGTCAACTAGAACAAGCGAAGAAAATCTTTGATTCTATGCCGGATCGTGATGATCTTGCTGGGACGGCTATGGTGACCGCATTTGCGCAGAATGGAGACGTGGACTCTGCCAAGGCTGTGTTTGATGCGATGCCAGAGCACAGCGTCTACGCCTGGAATGCTCTCCTCGCGGCCTACGCGCTAAATTCCCGCCCGGGTCGCGCTATGGAGATCTTCGCAACCATGCCCGAGAAGGACGTGGTCTCTTGGAACGTCGTCCTCGCCATGCTCTCCCAGCGCGATCAAGACGGGCGCGGCAGCGCGATCCAGCTCTTTCAATCGATGTTGCTCGAGGGATTCCTCCCAAACGACATCTCGCATCTCTGCGTGCTCATCGCTTGCAGCCGGGTTGGATCAATCCACGCCGGGCGCGACTGCTTCGCGGCGATGAGCTCGGATCACGGATCCACGCCCGAGCGCGTCCACTACTCGTGCATGGTCGATCTCCTGGCCCGCACGGGACAGCTCCTCCTCGCCCAAGATCTCATCGAGACGATGCCTTTCTTTCCCGACGACGTGGAGTGGCTGACGCTCACGGTGAGCGGAGCTCCCGCTGGACCGAGGCTCATGGATCTCCGGCCTGGCCGATCCGGTCCCTACGTAGTGCTCTCGAATTCCATGCTAGCGCCGTAAAGGATTTGTTGAGATCGATCCATCTGGGAAGTTTCATGAGACGGAAGAAGTTCGTGAACACTGTGAACATCACAACGCGTTTTCTTGTTTCGGGTGCCATTCAAAGACTTGGGCAGGTCAATCTTAGCAACCCAGACGGGTTTCTCCTTGAATCACAGAGGGTTTCTCCAAGGTCATGGGAAGCATATGGTCACAAAGTGTCAACAAATTGGGGAGAAGTTTTTTTTATTGTTCTTGGACAACGCACGCCAAATCTTTTTTCAACGCTCCTGTTCCCAAACCTTCAGTTTTTCTTCCATCATGCAGCTGCCAAATGCGACGAAGTGGACGAGGAGCAAACCCTAGCTGGTGTTTGAAATTTTAAAAACTTTGGCGCGAGACCCCCTGCCAATGCCGCCCTGCCACTTGGCGCAACACCCGTGGTGACTGTCTACCAACGCACATGTGGATAGACGCGAAGCTTTGCAGCAACAACAGTCTGGTGCCGTACGCACCAGCGTGGCGGTGGCTGTCACTCGTCTTCTCGTCCGTCGGGCTGTGGGCCACAAATAGTTTGGGCCACAGTGTGAAGCCGTCGTACACGCTTTAGCTAACTGGCATATATAATAAAACAGCTTGGCTTCATATTTTTGCTCGCTCTCTTGCATAGATAGGAAGAGAGGGGAGGATCGTTGCCCTAGAGGCGCTGGGCGATCGTCCGGGCGGGCGATCATCCGTTGCTATAGCTAGGACGAGCGCGCGAGCGATGGGATTTGGGAATAGCTACAAGGTTCTTTCTCCTCTCTCCTGGGAGACGACAGCCGCGAAGCAGGGGGGATCGCCGGGTAACGGCAGCAGCGGCAGCAGCGCCGCGCGATCCCAGAGAGTGGTGGATTTCGTGAAGAAATGGCTGCTCTGCGGCTGGAATCTCAACGCATCGGAGTATTCGCAGGTCGTGTCCCCAGGTAATCCTCTCAAGAGCAGCGGTGGCAGCGGTGGCGCTCCGGGGCGGGGGGCGGAGTGCTACGTGAGGCCGCCGCGTTGGAAGCAGTTCTTGCGGCGAGTGAGGGCGAGATCGAGGAAGGTCCGCGAGGGCTTGTGCTTCCACCCCCAGCAGCAGCCGCTCAACTATTGCAGCACCGATAGCTACGAGAGGAACTTCGATCGGGGGCGGGAGTTTTGGAGCGACGAGTTCGGCGCTCCGGACAGGAATCCGAGCCTTGCGGCTCCGCCAAGCTACGCGGCGGCGACGCTGCATCCCACGAGTTCTTCCACCCCGATCCTGTGGGAGGAGAAGCCGCTCCAGGATAGACTCCTGGCGGCTCCTCCCATTTGGCAGAGGAGGATGGTAGGCGATCACCTCACACCGATCGCCGTCGGCGCTGCTTAAAGGTTCTTTGTGATCTCTATCGTCTCTAGCTCCATCTCATTGATTCATGCGATCGATTCGTCAAGAGGATTCCACAAACTGCTGCTGATCGAGCTCAAGCCACCGAAAAAAACGATTTTTATCTCTTCCACTTAGTAGAGGAAAATGATCCACGGTCGATGGCAGCCTTGCAAAACTCCTTTTTTTGTGGCGGTGGTGGTGGTACCGATTATCATGTCCTCAATCAATGTCCTCTATATTATCAAAGTGGGCCTCTGCAAAATTGGAATAACCACACAAGAGAACAGATGTACATGTACCATGAAAAAAAGAGAGGGAGGAGCACAAATAAATATATGCAAAATAATGTTTATCGAATCAAATCGTTCGTTGGTGTCTGTCTCGTCTCGCCAATCTCATCTCTCTCACACACTCAAACACATACAAAAAAAAGAGGAGCACGGTTGGATTGGATGATCCGTTCTTTCTTTCCAGCGCGGAGGATCACGTCGTCTTTCGCGGGGTCACATCCTTCCATTTGAATCGACTAAAATTCCCAAGATCCAGAGGACTTTGCGATGCAGCTAGTATGTAGCTCGCCCTTGATTTGTCTGCGCCTGGAAGTTGGAAGCATCCTCTTTTCGCCACAGCAAATGGTCAAAAAGTTTGCCCTGGACCAAAGCTGACCGTTGACATAGATCGGTACGGTCTCTGTGCCGCTGACCACGTACGGACGCGGCCAGGTTTACTTTACCCTTTCCAGCCCTAAATCGCCTGTCAGTGAGACACTTGCCAGGAAAAGGAATGGGCCGTCAGATGGTTTTAGGGTAGTGATTTCGTTCGTCGATCGTCTGAGATGATCAGCGCGCTCGTCAGCCTGTTGCTCGAGGGCATGATCTGGTGCTCCGCGTATGGCCTCGTCGGGGCGCTGGCCCTCTGCCCGCATGTACACTGGACATTGATTCTTCTCTTTGGATGATTGATTGCGAGGAATCCACCGGTGGATCGAATGATCGCGGTGATGTAGTGCTCAAATAAAAAATCGCCCATTCTTTCTGATTGATTGGCTCGTTTATCTAGCGAAAAAATCTTCTCGTGTTAGATGTGTTACCCAGCCCTAAGTGCTCGCAGCGCGCTCATCGCTGCTCTGGCGGCAGGGCAGCGATCGCAGGTGAGGCGATTTCCCTGGTTGGGTGCGAATGCCGCGGCGCCATCGCGTCCGGCGCCAGTGAAGCCGGATTTCTTTGACGACGATGACGAGGAGGAGGAGGAGGAGGATCAGAGGCAGCGGCGCAAGGCGGGCGAGCTGGATTGGGCGACTAGAGCTCGGGAGCTTGTGATTCAGGATATGAGCTTCCGGAAGTTCACCGACGAGGATTTCCAGGGCCTACTGCCCCCGCATTTGCGAATCTCCAAGAAGAAGGCCAAGAAGAAGAAGAAGAAGAAGACCAGGGCCAAGGAGGAAGGTGCCGAGGCTGCATTGCAGCTGGAGGAATCGCGCAGCGCGATTAAGACCAAAAAGAAGAAAGACAAGGACGATGATGCGAGCAGCAATCTCCAGGCTCCACTCCGGTCGATCCAAAGAAGCTCAAAGCGCTGGCTAAGAGATTTAACGCTCACAGGGAGCGCTACATGAACATCGAGCAAAGCTACAGCGACAGCGAAGGTGACGAGGGCGAGGAGGAGCTCACGACCGAGTTGACAGTGGTTTATGGGGAGCGTCGAGAGGAAGGAGGTGGTGAAGAGTCAGATGATGGCGAGCGGCCTTGAAAGATCCAAGGCTGCTGGAAATTCGTCTCAACCAGGACTTGGTCGACTCGAGGGACGTGGAAGAAGTTTTGGAGACGATCGAGAGAGTGAAAGGAAGGTTTCGATTGAGCTCCATCAACGTCGCCACTGCTCTTCACAGGATCGCCAAGCATATGGTGACGCTGTCCATGTCCGAGACGAGAAGGCTCAAGTACGCCAGGCAGTGTGACGTGGCCGAGCTCGTTGCTTGGAATGCAACGCACAGGGCGTCTCCAACATTGCCTATCTCCAAGATTGGAGGCCACCTTCTTTACCGCGGAGAGATGGAGATAATCGCTCGAGCAGCACTGGCGAAGGTTGACGAGTTCAATCCCAGAACATTGCCGGAGCTTTTGCTTCCATGCAGCACAGCTCGCCCGCACTCTTTGAGAAGCTCATGGACGCTGCGAGCAGAGTTTCCAAGGAGTTTCGAGCACAGGAACTGGCCCAGCTTCTTTGGTCGTTCGGGTGCATGGCTCGGCCTCTGGATTCTTTCCTGGACTCATCGGCTTTTCAGCAAGAACAAGGTTCTCCAGAGCTCGGTGAAGAACAGTTCCAAGAGAATCTTTCCCCGTGAAGCTATCGATCGAGCAGCTCTGGAGCATCGTGTGGTCTTATGCTGTTCTCGGCCAACTCCAGGGTCCATTCTTCGCTCACGTTTGCAAGGAGATACGCGCGTTTGAGCAGCTGGGACAGCACAAGCATATGTTGCAGCTGACACAGCTATACCAGGTTGTGCTGGCCCTGAAGAGGGAAGGGAAGGATTTGCAGCTTGGCAGGATAGAGAAGCGGGCTCCGGGTGCCTGGGAAAAGGAGAGAAGCTCTCGCAAGTCCACTTAAAAGGATATTGAGAGGTTCTTGGTGTGCACTGGAAGGCAGTCGCATTCTCCGTGCTGAAGATTTCAAAATTCTTCCCCGGATCCCCGAGTACGTTGATGCGGATTATTCTCTGGATTTTGCCATGAAGGGCGGTAAAGTTGCGATCTAGGTCAACGGGCCATTAGGATGTTTTTTCTTTTTGTGATAGGAGAACTTCTGGGACACACTGTTTTGAAGCATAGATTGCTGGAGGCTGCTGGATGGAAGATTATCTCTGCTTCCTATGAATTTTTTTTTTTCTTTGTTGTAGTGGAGAAAAATGTGTGTTTTGATACAGTGGGAGAACTTACAAGGAGAGTCGGAGCACGTTGACTTCCTACACAAGCTTCTGGCTCCTCACATCCGTCAAATAGAGCAAGTGAGTGAGCGAGCAGTGTGACCACTTTCACCTACCAGTTTCGAACCAGAAGTAACTCGTGATTTATAAACCAGGAAATTTCCCACACCAGAAAAGCTAAGAAAGCCTGGACCGGAATTCCATGGGGAATTACTGGGACCAGGTTTAGTTTCCTATCATGAAAGTTCTTGATGCTGATGTGACCTTTGAGAAACTTGGTCTTGTAGTATCGGCTCGTAATGTTGTTGCTGGCGCCTGCCACTAAATCCCGTCCTACCTCTGCTTGATTGGCTAGAGACACCCGATCGATTTCCAGCGCCGAGTTAGACGAACTAGGCAAGGAGAGTGAGAAAACAACTGCGGCTGCCACCACTCCCAGGTGATCCTTGAAAGTTGTGTTTCATGATCACAATATCAGGATCATAGAATATTTATGCTGGAGAATAATTTACCCTCTGGGAGCAAGGTCTTGGTGCTCCTGCTCCACGTACTCATCCCTTACTTGGTCAGGAGGTCCATCTGGCGAGTGAGGTACTGCGTGGAGCTCACAGACCTCTTGAGCATGGCGTGCATTCTCTTGTAGAGCTCGCCGTGGTGGAAGACCATTGCGTGCTCTCCCAGCACGTCCTTGAGCGATCGAGGGTGGCCAGACTCAAACAGCACCCCCTCGTTGTGGAGCACAAACTTGACGCCCTCCACGTCCGTGACCCGTGAGCAAGCTCGTCTTGAACACCGTCCCATACCTCTCCACAAAAAGATCATAATAAAGATCATATCAGCATTCACAATCCAGCAACAAGATCATTGTATAGGTACTTCTTTCCCAAGACGTAAGGAGCCTTGGAGCGAGCAATCGTCACGTAAGGAATGAGCTCCCCAGTGAGAGGCCATCCCATGCTGAGCCTGTCCAGATTCCGGAACCTCCATGGTCGCCAGTAAGCAAGTGCCACGAGCCAGAGAGCTCCGGCGATCCTTGCTACCTGCGCGGAGAGAGAGAGAGAGAGAGAGAGAGAGAGAGAGAGAGAGAGAGAGAGAGAGAGGACATTAGTTGGAAGAACTTTCGTGTCGCTATGTGCGAGACTTATTTACCCAGGTCGGTTGACCCACAAACTCGGTGGCATTTCGATCGGTCGTGATGCTGTTGCTAGCGCCTGCCGCCTCCAGAAGATTCCTTGTAATAGGGAAACAAATGACGATTTTGGGTCTACGCCGGGAAATAATGATGGCGATTAGTTTGTATCGGCTCTTGATGCTCTTGGCTGTATTTGGTTCCCCTGCACTCGCTGCTAGCGGCTGCGTAGCACGGGGTCGGGAGATCCATCGTGCGGCCTCCAAGACATCGCCAGCGCTCTCGTGGCCATGTACGCGAAACTGCAACCAATTTCCGCTCCGGTCCTTACGAGCACGACACGAGCACGACGATGCCGGTTGCAAGGGAAGAGCTGCTCTACAATCTCTCTGGCCAAATGATTCAAAGGAAGAGGTGAAACGAGATGTCGAATTATAAATAATAGATGTATAGGAAACAAAACTAGCACGAGGCTCGAATTTCACCATGTCCTCCCGTGAGAGGCGAGAGCCTACCCATTTTGATCATGCCATTGGCGAAGGCAGTACAAAATGCCTTCTGATTGTCCGCAAACTCCTTGACAAAGCCCGCCAGATCACTCTGCAACAGCTGCTGGTCTGAGAAGAGGAGCGACTGATTCGCTTGGACAGCTCGAAAGTACAAGTTGTCGAACGTGGTGGGGGAGGGATCCAAATTGTTCAATCTGTTTGGGGCTGTTGGAGGGCAATTCTTCTCGAGTCGGGACTTGAGGGCCGGATCGATGCTATCCCCTGTGGTTCCGTTGAAGAGGCGGGCGCTAAATGTGAAGCACTGGGCCTGGCCGATGGAATGGCCTCCTGAGAGCGCTACGAGATCACGCTTGGAAAGGCCCCGCTTTTGGAATCTCTCATTGAGCTGCGTTGCGGTGAGATTTGGGCTGGGAATGGCGTCCACCGCGGCAGCGACGCTCGTGGAGCTGGGATTGTCCCGTCGGCCAAACTCTACTGTCCATGACGGGCCACCAAGCTGCAAAATTCGAAAGAGAAGAAAGCATTTGTAACTCAAATCAATGGAGACCTCACTTACGGCTATGACGGATTCCCGGGCGCTCAGAGCAAGAATGTCGGCGCATGATACAGTTTCCGGGCATGAAGTCTCCACGGCGCGCTTGATATTGTTGATGATTTTGAGTCCCTTGGTGGAGCGTCCATCTCCTACCTGGGGGAGCAGCGATCCGTCACAGCCCTGAGCGACAGCCAAATAAATGAGTAACGGGGACTTATTGGAGTACTTACTTGAGCAAAGCAATCACGGAAGTGGAGCTTGAGGATGGATGCAGAGGATCGGCTGTCATTGGCAAACTCAGAGCGAATCACGCTTCTAGCTATCTGGGGGAAGTCGGGACAAGTATTAGCGTAGAAAGAAGTGGACAGCTCTGAGGGCATCAGTGGTAATTCCTGGTGAATTACTAGCGCCGCAGCAGAGTTAACGTGAGGAGTAGATATTTAAATCGCTGCATTCTTTCACGTAGGGAAGTGTGAAGAGAAGCTTGGCTTAGCACTCTAAAGAAAGAGAACACGGGATGGCTTTCAAAGAAAACTACTACTGGACTAGCATATGTAGTAGGGTTGTAGGTTCGTGGAAGCTCCGTACGTTGGTCGTAGGGTCGTGAGCGCTGTCGATCTTAAGACCCTGGGCTCTACATGATGAGGGCCGTCGATCTTACAATCGAAAGATTACAACCCAAAGATTACAACCGAAACAACATGATGAGGACCTTGTAGCGATGTTGTTTTTAATATGCTCTTCCACATATCTCTGCTTCTTGATAGTGGGCTTGATTACCGCCAGTGACGATGTACTCGACAGAGCCAAGGAGAGAATGAGCCTCCCGTTAAACACCATCCTGATTCACTCTCTCTCCGCTTACCTGGCGATGACGTGGCATCAGGCCGTTTTATCTCCAGCGCACTCCCTCTCCCGTCCGTCCGTCGCCGCTGCGCACTCCCGCCCGCGGCTCCCGCCCGCCCGCCCGCACTCCCACCCGCCCCCGCGCCCAGCGTGCGCCCTAAAATTACTTCCACGTGGCCACAGTCCCAACACTTAGCCAAATTTCAATCAGCGCACCCTGTTCACGATTGTTGCCCCACAATTGACCTAAAAACGTTTCTGTTTCTTTTATGATCAAGCATGGCAGCAGCACATCAATTTCCAGAGGTAAGCAATCAATTCAACTTCATATTGATTCAAGAAAATCATTTAAAATCCCTCATGGCTTGATGAGGTGCAAGAATTCCATGAAAAGGATTATTTTTGTGCAGATGATTTAGATTGGAATTTGTCTAAATCAAATGAAACTATAGCTCCTATTGTGTATATATTACAGAAGGATGTAAACAAGTTTTTAGATGGTGAGAGGAGAAGGGGTGATCGAGTGGATTTTTGGCGATTTTCTAACAAAAATTATGATCTTAGAGATTTGAAACGACCCAAAAACACAAGCTTTTTATCATTAATTAGGTATATCTTTTTAACAAAATATAATTACTAACTTCTTGATACAGGTATTGGTGTGAATATGGAAAACAAGATGCTTGTGAAACATCCTTTATTATGATTGCTGAATCTACACCAAAGTCAGGACTTGGAAGTAGACCAAGTTGAAGTTCAAATAAGCGTGGTTGCCTTTGCAATTTTTTGGTCAAACAGTTTTACAAATGGCCTAATTATGTGCAAATTACATATTATCATAGAGAGCATTGTGATAAGAATGGGATTCCTTGTCATGGTCAACTTGATCCAACTGGGGGAAAGTCATTATTTCCTTAGAAGCTTTCAGCAGATATTTGACATTGGGTGATTCATATGATTCAACAAGATTTCACATCAAATCAGATTTATAATGAGCATATACAGATTGTGGGAAGGAACAAATCAGCTAGTGAACCTCTTCATTGAGATGATTTTCTAACTATGCAGGATATTAACAATCTGCATAGGAAGTATTCACTTTCAACTTATTGATTACATGAGAATGATGCACAGAGTGTACGTATTTGGAAGAACACAAATCCCGAGAAAGTATTTTTCTATCAGGAAGGTGATCGAGGTAAAGATTGTTTTACTATTGGGATTCAAACAACTTGGCAACTTCAAAAGATGGTGGACTTTTCAAATAATAATTTATTGAGTCTTGATGCAACTTTTGGAACTAATCGCTACAAGGTAAAATTTTCATTCATTTTTAAGTGAATAATATCTAATAATTTACAGTTTCCATTATACACCATGCTTGCTTTTGATTATCATGGAAATGGTATTCCAATTGCATGGGTTTTAACTTCTAGTGAGAAAGGAGAACACGATAGCTCTTAAAAAATGAGTTTTAGAACACATACCAAATTATAAACCATGGGTGATAATGATTGATGATGCTGAAGCATAGATTAATGCTATAAGGTAATTAATTTGATATGAAATAATTTAATTGTTTTCTTCTATATAGAGCTACATTTGATTGTCAAATTCTATTATGTATTTGGCATGTAAGGAGGAATTAGCTCAAACATATTATTTGTAAGGTGAAATCTTGGGATATTAGGATGGAAATATGGAAATGTCTCAGAGATATTATGTATCATTTAATTCATACAGCTTTTCATGATGATAATATTATGCGAGCTGAGATTAAATAACTTATTGAACATTTTGAGGTGGATTTTCAAAATGAAGTAGCCTTTATCAAGTATTTTCAAGACGAATGGAAAGACAAAGTTGGTAAGTGAATCAATATTTTAATTTTTATAATTTATTTTAATCTATATTTGATAGATATGTGGGTTGTTGCAACTTGAAATTTCCCTCATGCTAACAAGGAGACAAATAGTTCGATTGAGGCATTCCATGCAAATATGAAAGCTATACTCTCGTCCGAAAAAAAATATGCTCGCAATTGAAGGATGGATTGGGCAATTCATCAACTTACTACTAAAGTTTATGCGAGGTACTGGTTTACTAGTTATTGCAAAGATCATGGTTTTATCCGAAACCATGCATATGAAAAACTAATCGATGGTGCGATTGTTAAAGCAAGAAATATTAATGACTCTCAAGTAAAATTCGATAAGGACAATATTTATAAATCCTATGTACAATCCTCTTTAGATCCAGCTATATTGTGTCTTGTTGTTGGAGTTGAAGGACACAGTGATTGGGCTTTTTCGACTTGGTGTAATTGTCCGTGGGCAACCAAAGGAAACTTTTGCAAGCATCAAGCAAAAATTATTATATTAAAACAAGGAGAAAAAACCGATTGGACTACAACTAGTTATGAGGTTCAACCATCACAATCGCATGCAATCTTAGAACCTGGGTCAGATGACTTATTTTATCGTCATCAAGATTTTGAAGCACTTGACTTGGAAGCTATGACAGAGGTAATTCACTTATTAATTAAAATTTTGAAATACTTATAAAAATTTGAGCAGGAAAACATCCATCAAAATGTTTATCATGAGCAAGAAATTCAATTGGAGACTATATTAGGGGTAAACTAGCATATTTTATATACTAATATATATGAATATTGAGCAGGAAGATATCCATCAAAATATACAACATCAACAAGAAATTTAGCTAAGGACTACTATAGAGGTAATTTACACTAAGTAAATTTTAAATATTGATATGAACTTTGAGCAGGAAGATATCACTCCATCAAAAGTTACAAAAGCGACATTACAGCAGAAAATGATGGATATCTTACAAGATTTTCCTGATGAAGAAGCTTTTTTATTAATGGTTGACAACGATTTAGAAATGATACAGCAGAAGGTTGCAACTTTTAAAGCTAGGCCAAACAATCTTATTCATCCTGCAGCAGAATTTCAACAGCGTGTTGATAGTTATGGTACATCCTTGAAGCAAGCAAAACCTTTGGTGGAAAGAATTACAGGTAAAAGAAAAGCTTCTAGTAGTTTAGAAGCAACTCCTTTTACTAACCAGAGGAAGACAAGAAAGAAAAGCTCTTTAAACGAAAAACTCAATTTTAGCAAAGAATAAATAAAAAAACAAACTCTTTATATACTTACATTGCATATATTTAAATTAGTGAGAAGATTTCATAAGTATACCACTCCTAATGGTCATCCATGACACTCATTGGCCACATAAAGCACGTAGAAAGACGCGCGCGCTGATTGAAATTTGGCATAAGTGTTGAGCCGTGAGGGCGAGTGGGCGGGAGCCGTGAGGGCGAGCGGGCGGGCGGGAGTGCGCAGCGGCGACGGACGGGAGAGGGAGTGCGCTGGAGATAAAACAAAACGAAGGCCTGATGCCACATCATTGCCAGGTAAGCGGAGAGAGAGTGAATCAGGATGGTGTTTAACGGGAGGCGGTAATGAATGAAGTGGTGCGTGCCCTCTCTCTCTCTCTTTCATTCATTGCCTTTCATTCATTGAGAGAGAGGGCAAGCACCTATAAATGGAATCTTCCCGAGATGCGATTAGGAGGTCCCAGGTTCGAATCCCGTGGGCTCATTGTCCTTATTTGTTCGGGTTGAATTTGTGTTGTGTGATGTTAAAATAACTCTCGTCATGGTTAAAATTCTCATGCTAAGGTGGTGAAAGTGACAAAATCGACATGGCCTCTTATCAAACCACGTAGCATGCTATTCTCCAAGGGTTGTAGGTTCGTGGAAGCTCCGACTCGTACGTACCTTTTCTTTGTGACCACCGTGGTCGTAGGGTCGTGAGCGCCGTCGATCTTAAGACCCTGGGCTCTACATGATGAGGGCCGTCGATCTTACAACTGAAAGATTACAACCCAAAGATTACAACTGAAACAACATGATGAGGACCTTGTAGCGATGTTTTTTTTAATATGCTCTTCCACATATCTCTGCTTCTTGATAGTGGGCTTGAGAGATAACTTTTCTTTGACCCTACCAAGGCTTTGAGAGGTTTCTGTTTGGAAGTAAAAAGTAGTAAAAAGGATTTGATGTGACAAGTCAAATCGCGCTGATGTTTGCTCTTGGCCAACAATTGGCCGCCAGAGATTCTAATGCTTTCACTACGATGTGCGGAAGAGAACACGTGGCGCGAATTTGAGTTAAAGCGCGTTGGAGAATCCCTTAAATCCCGACCACTCGAGCTCATCTTCAAGGCCTTGTAGCGATGTTTGAAGATTAGATTAAACTTATATTATATTATGTTAAACTTTGTTTAGTAACAGTTAATTATTTTTTAATTATATAAATTAAATGAGTATTAAACGTTCGATACCCGTTCGAATCTGGTTGCGTTCGAATGTTCACATGCAAGTATGCCCGGGCCTCAACTTGGTGTGACTTGGTGTGAGGTACAAAAAAGATCCCTTTCTCTTTTTTGTACAAAAAAGAGAAAGAGAGAGCTGTACACACGTCATACTCCCCACAAGATCCCGGGAACTTCCCGCATGGCGAGTAGTCCTCCACAAAGTCGGTGATGATAGAGGTAAATTTCTCTTCCCTCAAATTTCTCTTTCTGTGGATCTTCAGCTAAGTCGTGTGGGGCATCCATCCACGTGTTGCGCCGCGAGAGCTCCAACTCGGCACTCTGAAGGTACCTGTCTGCTCGCATCATGGTCGTCTTTTTTCTTTTCGGTCTTAAGTGCGCTGCAAAATGCTCACTCGCCGGATATGTACAAAGAAAAGAACAGTACGAATAGGTACCGAACCTTCCACGAAGCCTCCCATTGGAAAGGCTTCCACGAACCTTCCATGTGCCTATAAATACGCTCGTCCAGTAGTAGTTTTCTTGCTGTTTCTTTACAGCCATCCCGTGTTCTCTTTCTTTAGAGTGCTAAGCCAAGCTTCTCTTCACACTTCCCTCAAATTCACGCCCACGTGAAAGAAAGATCACAATGCAGCGAGTCAAATTTCTAACTCCACTCACCTCGGCAGCGTTACTGCTCGTGTTACTGTTAACGTTGCTACGGCACTATGCAATTCACAAGGAATCACCAACGACGCCCTCGGAGCTCTCCACTTCTTTCTATGCTAATACTTGTCCCGACTTCCCCAAGATCGCTAGAAGCGTGATTCGCTCTGAAGTTGCCAATGACAGCCGATCCTCTGCATCCATCCTCAAGCTCCACTTCCGTGATTGCTTTGCTCAAGTAAGTACTCCAATAAGTCCCCGTTACTCATTTATTTGGCTGTCGCTCAGGGCTGTGACGGATCGCTGCTCCCCCAGGTCGGGAAGGAGCAAGGAGATGGACGCTCCACCAAGGGACTCAAAATCATCAACAATATCAAGCGCGCCGTGGAGACTTCATGCCCGGAAACTGTATCATGCGCCGACATTCTTGCTCTGAGCGCCCGGGAATCCGTCATAGCCGTAAGTGAGGTCTCCATTGATTTGAGTTACAAATGCTTTCTTCTTGCAGCTTGGTGGCCCGTCATGGACAGTTGAATTTGGTCGACGGGACAATCCCAGCTCCACGAGCGTCGCTGCCGCGGTGGACGCCATTCCCAGCCCAAATCTCACCGCAACGCAGCTGATTGAGAGCTTCCAAAAGCGGGGCCTTTCCAAGCGTGATCTCGTAGCGCTCTCGGGAGGCCATTCCATCGGCCAGGCCCAGTGCTCCACATTCAGCGCCCGCCTCTTCAACGGAACCGCAGGGGATAGCATCGATCCGGCCCTCAAGTCCCGACTCGAGAAGACTTGCCCTCCAACAGCCCCAAACAGATTGAACAATTTGGATCCCTCCCCCACCACGTTCGACAACTTGTACTTTCGAGCTGTCCAAGCCAATCAGTCGCTCCTCTTCTCAGACCAGCAGCTGTTGCAGAGTGACCTGGCGGGCTTTGTCAAGGAGTTTGCGGACAACCAGAAGGCATTTTTTATCGCCTTCGCCAATGCCATGATCAAAATTGGTAAGCTCTCGCCTCTCACGGGAGGACATGGTGAAATTCGAGCCTCGTGCTAGTTCTTATACGTCTATCCTTTTTCACTATACTCCATTACAACAAAGAAAATAAAACTTCACCTCAGTTCCATCCGCAATCTATGCTTCAAACCAGTGTGTCCTAGAAGATCTCCTGTAACAAACAGCTCCTACATTCCTCGGCGCTGTGCGTAGCGCGCTTCCATCGCTGCTCTGGCGGCAGGGGCCGGGATTTTGGATTCCTCCACCTGCAATGCAGCCTCGGCACCTTCCTGCTTGGCCCTGGTCTTCTTCTTCTTTCTTCTTAGAGATTCGCAAATGCGGGGGCAGTAGGACCTGGAAATCCTCGTCGGTGAAGTTCCGGAAACTCATATCCTGAATCGCAAGCTCCCGAGCTCTAGTCGCCCAATCCAGCTCGCCCGCCTTGCGCCGCTGCCTCTGATCTTCGTCATCCTCCTCCTCCGAATCATCGTCGTCAAAGAAATCCGGCTTCACTGGCGCCGGACGCGATGGCGCCGCGGCATTCGCACCCAACCAGGGAAATCGCCTCACCTGCGATCGCTGCCGCTGCTGGAAGAATCCAAAATCCCGGCCCCTGCCGCCAGAGCAGCGATGGAAGCGCGCTACGCACAGCGCCGAGGAATGTAAGAGCTCCATGGCGAGCACTTAGGGCTGAGTAACACATCTAACACGAGAAGATTTTCTCGCTAATCAAACAGAAAGAATGGGCGATTTTTTAGTTGACCGCTACATCACCGCGATCATTCGATGGATTCCACGATCCTTGGAATGCCCAGGGGAAGTCCCAGTTTGACAACGACGAGTTTCCATACAAAATCTTTTCCATCTTTTCTTGGAAGAACTGCATGGTTTTTTTGTCGTGTGTCCTCTCGTTCATCACCTTTTCGTTCCTAGAATAAAGAATAGGATCTCATCTGCCATACTTTCACGTACCTCGGACTTGATCTTTTCGTTTCAAGCACTCGTTTCATTAAAGTGCCATTTCATTAAAGTGCCATTTTTGTGATTCGTTTTGTGTGTTTGTTATAGGAGATCTTCTGGAACACACTGTTTTGAAGCATAGGTTGCTGGAGGCTTCTGGATGGAAGATTATCTCTGCTTCCTATGCTGAGGTGAAATTTTTTTTCTTTGTTGTAGTGGAGAAAAATGTGTGTTTTGATGCAGTGGGAGAACTTACAAGGAGAGTCGGAGCACGTTGACTTCATACAAAAGCTTGTGACTCCTCACATCCTTCAATTAGAGCAAGCGAGTGAGCAAGCAGTGTGACCACTTTTGCCCTCCACGTCCGTGACCCGTGAGCAAGCTTGTCTTGAACACCGTCCCATACCTTTGATCATACTAAAGTCACAATCCAGCAACAAGATCATTGTATAGATACTTCTTTTCCCTCTCCTTTGGGAAGACCTAAGGAGCCTCGGAGCGAGCAATCGTCACGTAAGGAATGAGCTCCCCAATGAGAGGCCATCCCATGCTTCCTGGGGGGAGCCTCTCCAGCTTCCGATCGCCAGTAACGAGCCAGAGAGCTCTGGCGATCCCTGCTACCTAAATTCTGGAATCCACCATAGCACTTTGCGGCTCGATGGAGAGAGAGAGAGAGAGAGAGAGAGAGAGAGAGAGGAAACGTAAAGAGAGAAAGAAAGAAAGGCTTTCACTAACGTGATCTTCGCAAGATCTTCTCGCAAAATAAAAGCTTTGGAAGTTATTCGCCAATATCCCGCCAAATTCAAGCACATGAACAGCGACAGAATGCAGCAAAAGGTGAGTCCCAAGACGTTGGGGCTGGATGCTCCATAAAACCACTCCATCGTCCAGTCAGGATAATAGGATAAAGAAAGGAGTGATCACCCTTTTAGCCAGTTGAATTAGGGTGTAAGGGATAGGATTGTAATATTGGTATTGGAGCTCACTTCGATTCTCATATTGGGGCAAAAATATTCTAAAGAAATATTTAACATATAAGGAAAATTAAAGCTTGGTAAACCCTAAGAGAAGAACTATGAGGGTGGCCTAAATATGATCGTAAACGATCATTCCCTGACCAAGGGAGGATTATTAGGCACTAAGTCAGGATAATAGGATAAACAAAGGGCCCTTTCTCTGTTTTTTTAAAAGAGAGCGTAGAGACGAGAAATCCTTGCAACCAAATTTGGGCGCTTGATCCGCTAGAACCTCCCCAAGAAGATTCGTAAAACTGGTCAATGAATCACTGGTGAGCCAGAGCTCACCGATCCGGCGTCCCTTTGGAACACTCGGTGCCAGGACGGTGGCCAGGAGGAAGCGGCCCCACAAAGGTTTGGACTCTAGATGGAACGCTCCAAAAACGCTCGGAGATGGTGATCTCATACTCCGTACCTTGATTGCAGAACCTTGGGATCCGCGGGGACCTTGGTTGCAACCAGAACCACGACACCATTAAGAATCATGTTTTAGGATAGTCTCGGCGTGCAGATGCCAAGGACCTCTTTCTTTCTCTCGATCGAGCCGCAAAGTGCTATGGTGATTCGAGAATTTAGGTAGCAGGGATCTGGCTCGTTACTGGCGATCATGGAGGTTTCGGAAGCTGGAGAGGCTCCCCCTGAGAAGCATGGGATGGCCTCTCACTGGGGAGCTCATTCCTTACATGACGATTGCTCGCTCCGAGGCTCCTTATGTCCCAATGGAGAGGGAAAAGAAGTATCTATAATAATAAGAACGAAGAACCCACACCCCCACAGCTGTCCAATCCCAGGCCCGGGGCAGCCTCGGAAGCTATGGTTCTCGGCAAGGGGAGGCCAGCCCAGGCTCGGGCCAGGGCCGGTGGCCATGGTTAGCGGAAATATCGGCTCAATGTTGTGGCGGCCAATGGGCGGGATGCACGCGTGGCCGGGAAGGGAAGAGGGCGTGGTGACAGGTGTTATGCCATGCACTCCTAGGGCTCCATGGCTGCTCTGGTCGGACACGGTTGTGTGGGCATTCCCGTGAGAGCCTGTGCGTGGTAAGTAACAGGGGCAAGTAGAATGGTAGTTGGGCACACAATCCAGGCTCTTCTCGGGATCAACTCAGGACTGTGAGAGGCAAATTGGCTCATCTCCAACTTAGCAAAGCTTTGATCCCTGTTCGCCACTGCCTCACGAGCTCTTTGGCCTACAGGAAAGCAATTATCAAGGACACTCCCTCTTTATCCCCGGATTCTCTCGAGGAATCCCTTGCTGCTGGGCCTGGTGAGGGATTTTTGTTTCAGCACATGCTTGGGATCAACTCCATTTGTAGGAACCAGGTGTTTCGAGTTGACGTAGGGCTGTCGAGTGGCTGCGCCAGCCAACACTGCTCCTGAAGTTTTGGAAATCCTTCTCCTTGAAAGAGAAGGAGAAGCAGCAGGTGCCACCGCAAGCATCGCCTGGTTTAGCTTCGTTTTTAGATTGAGGTAAGTCGTAAGTTTGAATATCTTTGTATTCTATGATGAGATTTTTTTTCTGTCTGATACTGCTTCCATCGAATCTAAAATTTAGTTCCAGTTTCCGAGAGTTTGAGGGCCGGTTTCAACAATGCTGTGCTGGGATGCTGTGCTAGGTAGCCTGATGCTGGCGTAGGAGCAGCACTTGGGGCTACAGCTCAAAATTGCAAAGCTGTGGATTATGAGGCAGAGATTGGTAAACACAACATTGGAGTTATTTTGTTGTTCTTGAATATTTTTCTTTCAGATCATTACATAGTTGTGAAATTTATATATATCCAACTGTAGTCTGCATTTCTATTCTGCATAAACTTCTATACAAACTCAATTAAAAAAAAAATATATAATCAAACCTATAATCGAAGTGACTGAAAATGCCTCACCTCCGCCATCTTTTGAGAACCATACGACATAGTAAACAATCTAATGGAGATTTAGATGCCTCTGAAACTATGATTGATCATGATACACATACTATAGCTGTTCAAAATAATCATGATAATGATTCTATACACCAAAATATTAATCATGATAATGATTATATACAGCAATCAGTTGGACACTCAGAAGCATCTAGAACCTTACATGCATGTCATTATGACAATTACATATATCAAGCAATATTAAATCCACCACTCCCACCCATGAATACCACACTAGCAAGCCATAGCATTTATAATGACTTTAACATAATAAATTTTAATATTGGTAGTTTATCATTTGTTTGTACTTTTTGTAATGCATTGCATTTTAAAGATGAAAACTCTTCAATGTGTTGCCAGAATAACCAAGTGTTATTACCTCCAATTTCACTTTTACCATTTGATTTACTTTCACTTTACAAGCAAAATAAGAACTCTAATTTTAAAACAAATATTAGACACTATAATAGTGCTCTTGATTTTGCATTTATGTCTTCTAATATTGATATTGTAAAAGGTCATGGTCCTTATTGCTTTAAAATCCATGGTCAAATATATCATAATATTGTTTCAGCACATCCTTCTGAAGGTCAATATCAAACTTATGGACAACTTTATATGCTTGATACTCTAGAAGCTACAAATATAAGAAAGCAAAACCCTTTTAATTCAAGCTATGAGACAAACTTACTTAAACATCTTGATGCTCTCCTTCGTTATGTTAACCCATATGCTCAAGCTTTTAAAATGATGTATGAAATGGAATAAGAAGAAATTCGTTCTGCTACACTTTTATGTTATCCTATACGTGGTGTTTACATGTTATTAAAAACTGAAGGAACTGATCCACGACGCTATAATGCTCCACAGACAAATGATGTTGCTGTCATGTTTGTTAGTGATAATGGAGAACCGCCACATAGTCGTGAAATTTGTATATATCCAACAGTAAGCAATTCTAAATCTATCTCAACACTTGATTATAATTGTGATCCAATAGTTTACTCATTAATATTTCCTTTTGGTGACAGAGGTTGGTGTAAGCGACTAATTTTTCCATTCTACTTTAGTCACTTAACCACACCTCCGACCACTTGGAGGAGTCTCATTCACAACCTCCATAAGTCCCATTCAGGACTTAGGACTTGCTAGCCTCGAGAATGGCATCCATGCCACTCAACCTTTGCACTTGGTCCAAGTGCTCCACGTGTCCGATCCCATGACCGACACCCTAAAGTACCACTGATATATGAGCCTGTTACGCTAGGCCACGCTCATTCACCTTGGTCACATCGGTGGTCTCACACCACCTGCATTGCAATCCCGTCTCTCCAAGACTGGGCCATCCATCCATGAGTGATCATCCCAGATCCACTCCTTAGCATCCTTAGGATGTCGACAGACATGGGGAATAGCCTTCCCCCAATGTCCTTTTTCTGGTCCCCACCAAGTCCCTTTATTGTCCATGGCCGTGTTCACCAACACTACCACTGAATCGAGGCTCATAGGCCCGACCACTAAGTCCCACAATCCTCTGGGACTTCCTCACCACACGACTGTGTCCTTGGTCACTACCCCAGAGGACTGCTCCTCTTCCTTTCCACAGTCTGGGCCTTTGGGACAACATTTCAGAACACCGTGGCTTTACGTGAGCCACCTGGGTACTCTCCCCACCTTTCGCCTTTAGGTGCTCTAGCCATGGGCTTAGAGTGAGGTTCTGTTGAGCCACACCTGGTATCCAAGTAGGTAGTGCCACCCACACTTGGACTGGGAGCATCGGCCAGTCGATCTCCCGGGGGACCTAGAGCCAGCTCTTGAACACTTCACCAAGCTACCCCACTTGTTGGTCCGTATTCACTCTAGTCTTGGACTTCCCAGTGGTCAGTTTATCACCCAACCTGGGTCTGGCCTTCTTGGGCCAAACTGGCTCCACTGCAGTCCTCCCCCTCACTATACTTTTGGAGCTCACCAAACCCCCCAAGGTCTGGGAGACGAACGCTTTGGGCTTTCACCCTCTCAGACTCGAACTCGGACTCGGACTCGGACTCGGACTCGGACTCGGACTCGGGCTCGGTCTCAGCCTTGGCCTCGGTCCCGGTCTCGGTCCCGGTCTCGGTCTCGACCTCGGACTCCATCTCGGGTCCTTCTCGGACTCCATCTCGGACTCCATCTCGGGCTCCGTCTTGGTCCATCTTGGACTCCATCTTGGACTCCATCTCGGGCTCCGTCTCGGTCCATCTCGGACTCCATCTCGGACTCCGTCTCGGTCCATCTCGGACTCCATCTCGGTCCACTTCAGACTCCATCTCGGTCCACTTCAGACTCCATCTCAGACTCCATCTCGGGTCCATCTCGGACTCCGTCTCGGTCCACCTCGGACTCCACTTCGGTCCACCTCGAACTCCATATCGGACTCCATCTCGGACTCCACTTTGGACTCCATATCGGACTCCACTTCGGGTCCATCTCGGACTCAACTAGGGTCCGTCTTGGACTCCATCTTGGACACTTCCACGTGTCATGTGTTGGTCCTTTTTGGGTCCCTTTTTGGAGCCTTGCTTATTGCTCGCTCCTTGAGCACTTTGTCGGGAGTTCCACTCCCGCTCTCGACCTTCCAAGTTAGAGCTTTTAGTCCAAACGTGTTACACTCATTTGGGCTTTCGCTTCGGCCACTACCACGTGGCACCCTTTCCGGCTCCACTTTAGGGCCTAGGGATTTTGTGTTTCATAGTTGGCACAAAAATATTTTTAATTCCAAATGTTGAATTACATTACTCCAATATTATGCATACCGTTTATCTATAAGAGACACAATACACTTTGGTTTTGATCAAATTTTACATGTAGGAAAACTCACACAACCATATATAGTCAATGCTTATGTAAAAGTTGAAAGCAATAATTTGAATTACTATCACACTCGTCAAAAACAACTGCGAGTTGAAATATATACTGGTCTTATGGATTATGTTGCAAACCGTGCTACTAATGAAAATATAAATCCAGGCAAGATTGTTATTTTACCTTCAAGTTTTGGGGGTGGCCCTAGAGCAATGCAACAAAATTATCAAGATGCAATGGCTCTAGTTACTCATTTCTCAAAGCTAGATCTTTTTATTACTTTTACATGCAATCCCAAATGGCCAGAAATTTCTAAAAACTTACATCCAAATGAAGGCCTTAAGAATTGTCCAGACTTAGTTTCTAGAGTATTTCATATCAAGTTTAAAGAATTTTTGAATGATATTACTAAAAAGCATATTTTTGGAAATTGTATTGCTTTTATATATGTAATTGAATTTCAAAAGAGAGGCTTTTCACATTGTCACTTTCTAGGGATTTTATCTCATGAAAACAAGATTAAAGACCGTGATGCTCTTGACCAATATATAACGGCACAATTGCTTAATCTTCAAAATGAACTTGAAATTTCTAAAATAATTACATTTCATATGATACATAGTTCATGTGGGCTTCTTTACCCTAATAGTCTTTACATGGCTTAAAAGGTTATCCAAAAAAATCTAATTATAAAACTACTTTTAGTGTTGATGGATATCCAGATTATTATAGACTTGATAATGGCCGTACATTTCTAAAAAATGGGTGTTATATTGATAATCGTTGGGTAGTGCCTTATAATAAATATCTTTGTAAAAAATATAATGCTCATATTAATATTGAAATTTGTGCTACTATAAAAAGTATTAAGTATTTATTTCAATATGTTTATAAAGGTTATGATTGTGCTACAATTGAAATCCATTCAATAACCCAACAACCTGATAATATTTTAAATTGGGATGAAATCTTAACTTTTTTAAATACACGTTATATATCTACTCCAGAGGCAATATGGAGACCTTTTAAATTTAAAATGCATGGTTGTTCAACCCCTATAATCCATCTTTCTATCCATCTTCCAAATTTTCAAAACTTCTATTTTATAGAAGGTTCTGAACAAATAGCACTTCAAAGAGCTACTTAAAATGGTACAATGTTGATAAAATGGTTTAAATTAAATATAAATGACCCAAATGCTAGACAATATATATATCCGGAAATCCCTTTATATTATACATTTAACCCTCATACTCATAATTGGCAAATTCGACATACAAGAAATATTATTCTTCAAATGTATTCTATGTCACCATCTAATGTTGAACTATATCATTTACGTCTTATTTTACTCCATAAAAAAGGTGCTACATCTTTTAAAGATCTCAAGATAGTTAATAATATTTATTATGACACATTTCAACAAGTTACAGATGCAATGGGGCTTATAGCTGATAATACCGAATAGAAAAAAAATTTAGAAGATGCTTGCTTTTTTAGAATGCCATCACAATTAAGATAATTATTTGTATTATTTTGTATATTTTGCACTCCAAAAGATCCTTACTTTTTATGGGATAAATTTAAAGACTTCCTCTCTGAGGATTTCATGCAAACAAATCCAATTTTTCATTATGAACATGCTTTACATGATATAAATATTAAAATAAAAATGCATGGCAAAACTAATCAAAACTACCATCTATCTTTGCCGTCTAAAAATTTTGATGATGAAAATATTGTCAACTCAACACAAATATATCAAAATGTTGAACAGAATATTCCTCAATTTAATCAAGAACAATTAAATATTTTTAATGATATTCTTAATGTTATTGATCACCCAACTGAGCATAATTGATACATTTTTATTGATAGCCCTAGTGGTATTGGTAAAACATTTCTTTTTAACACTCTTATAAATATTTTACAATTAAAAAACATAAATGTTGTTAGCATGGCTTGGACAGGAATTGCAAGTACTTTACTTTATAATGACCGAACTTCACACTTTTAAACTTCCTGTTCCAATAAATGAAACATCAACTTCCGCTATAACTGCTAA